CGTACAATGTTGGTAAATTGTGTTTTTTGGTTGAATGCAAAAAAATGTAGTGCTCAGGTGACGTTATATTACGTTTCTTGGCTAAAGTGGGCCATTATTTGTAATTTGATAGATTTCGTTTATCGTGATAACCGTATGACGAAAGTGTATATACAAACTCTCGTCATTATGGTATTGTCTGTGTGCTTTATGATGACATTATTATTATGATGAATAAACCGAGTTTAAACATGTTCAAATACCGTCGGTAAGGGACAAGTTGTATTTATTACATTTATTACAGTTCTAATGTTACACTTTCACTAGTATCAGTAGACATAATTATAATGTCTCAGTCTTTAGACTCGCATGTCTCTACTAGACTTTTGACTTGCACTATGCTCAGTCTCACTGTTATAGCTTACTTCGGCTTAAATCCTATACTGTTATAATTGAATCACATAATCAAAATTATATGACCAAACTTGTATGATTGAATCGCACAATATAGTGTAGTTGCTACTTCCTTGGAAAAATCAAATGAAAAATATCGGTTGGGTGTGCTTGCGAAATTTTGAATGTTTCTTATGATATCAATAAATTCAATTCAGTAGAATTAGATGAGTTCCAAATTGGGTAATACCTCAACGAATCATAAGTGTAAGGGAGGCGTTGCAAGAAATCAAAACTTAGAACTGCATCAGCTAGTCAAGCAAAATGCAATTGTAAAGGAGCATGTATTGATGACCGAATAGTTGTAAAAAAAAAACAACATAAATGTACTGTGCTAATTTATACGTATAGTGTTGACTGTCGATTGTAAGCATGAGCTATTACTATGTTATTATTGTGCAAAGTTTTCTTTTTACAAATAATTTGGGGGCCTTCGACAGGATTTACATAGTGATGGGTTTACATAACAATACATATGTTGTATACTGACTTACAAGACATAGTAACAGCGATTCCAGGACGGTTAATGTCTTCTAGTGAATGATAGGAAACTAGTTTAGTCCGTGCGTCAGATAATACGCTCAAAGCTGTAAGTAGAGTCAATGCGAGATAAAGACTAAGACGTTATGTCTATTGATACTAGCGAAAGTGTGACGTTAGAACCGTAATAAATACAACTTGCACTTTACCGACGGTATTTGAACTCAGTTTTTATTTTGGTGACCTTTGACGTAATTTACATAGTGACGAATTTATATACAACATATTTCTCACGTTTGAATTATTTTTTCTAGACTAAAGAAAAGTGGGAAAGGTGCGATATTAATAGAAAGTAGCAGTATGATCAATAAAATGCGAAATTTTTTTGTACAGAATGTGTACAGCAAAGGGCATATTCTCATTGGTCAATCTTGCAATTATGTCACTAATTGTAACTAGACAGGCCCTACCAGGTTACATAATATTATCTAAACTCATACGTCTATTTATTTTATTACTAGCACTTATACAATCATGGTTAGTACAATTTTTTGAAAATGGCAGCGAGACTTGCAATGACATATAGCATTATCAGACGCAGAGCTCTGTAAACGGGAACCTCCGTGAGATATTTGAGAGCTAGGAACATTTTCAAGTTCTGGAAACTCTGCACTTACACCTTCCATCTCACTTGCTAGGTAACACCTCTCAAAGGCCCATCCGAGACGATAATAACCCTACCGAGAGCCTCCAGTACTTTACACGGAAGTGATCTTCTATCAATATCCGCTCTGTCTATTGGAGGAATGTTAATGCGTACCAATCCCAAACAGAGAACGTTATTTGCCGTTTTCTGCTTTCGATGACTGTTTTCATTCGTTCTATATTCTTTTCTACGTTTTCTGCTGCAGCTTTCCGAAACGCTTCATGACTTGTAGACATGACATCGGACGACGTTGGAGCACTTTCAGATTCTGGTGCATTAATTTCGTGTGCAGTACTCTCACCATTGTCATCGCTCAGCACAACACTTTCTCCTAACCCTTGTCTTATGTTCACATAGTTTTGCACATTCACATTGTCTGGTATATCTTCCTCGTCCCTTATGCCTTGATCATATAACTCTTTCATCAAAGCAAAACCAGAACGA